CGCAGGTTAAGAGGTAAGAGTATCCATTTGAATCTGGTAAAGGTCCTACCAAATCCAGATGAACATGATCGAGACGAGCAATGGGAGTCTTAAATGAGCCTAAGGGAGATTTATTGTCTCTAATCACCTTTGATTTCTGATAGCTTACACAGGAGCGTGCTCACTCCGTAACGTCTTTATTCATGCCAGGCCAGCAGAACCGTTCTGCTATAAGCTTGATGGTTGCACGAAGACCTGGATGAGAAAGTTTGTGTAACGTGTTGAAGACGTTGCATCGATCATATTTCGGCACGATTGGGCGATCCCTACCTGTAGATGTGTCACCAAGTGAGGTTCCGTTACCTGTTCCCATCTGTTTGATGCGTGGTTTAATTGTTGTAGACGATAACTCGTGCTGAAGATCAGTGTCTTCTTTTTGAAGCCAGGCGAGTTTAAAAGAGTCGATTTCTTGTAAACTGTTCAAGAAAGTTATACGAGACAAGGCGTCTGCAACTACATTGTTGCTCCAGAAATATGTTGAATATCTGGAGTAAACTGGAAATGTAGTCCAGTTGTCGAGACTCACGAGGTGAGTACTTGTCTGAAGGGGAGCTTAGAGAGTATGTAAGCGGTTTATGGTCAGTAAAAAAAGTGAATTCATGACTCCGATGTACTGTTGAAAATGTCGTACAGCACAGTACATAGCTAAGAGTTCCCTACCGAATGTGCTGTACCTCGATTCGGTGTCTAGCAACCTTCTAGAGAAAAATGCCAATGGTTGCCAGGAGTTGTTAACCAATTGTTGTAAGATTCCTCTGATTGCTGAGTCGGACGCGTCTACTGCGATACTAATGGGTGCTAGGGTGTCCTGATGTGCGAGCATTGTTGCTTTAGCGATAAGTTCCTTAACTGTGGAGAATGCTTTTCGTGCGGTGTCGTCCAAATTAATGGATTTTGCATTTCCATGAAGTTGGTCGATTAGAGGTTTCATAAGTAATACGCATTTCTGTATGAATCGTCTATAGAAACTTCGAAGCCGTTAAATGTGTGTAATTGCTTGACGATGGTCGGTTCTGGGTAATTCAGAATGGCCGCCACTTTGGTTCTAAGGTGTGGGATACCTTGAGCATCGATAGTGTGTCCCAGAAAGTCTAATGAGTCGGTTCCGAATTGGCATTTCTGAACGTTTACAGTATGCCATTTTTTGTAGTCGTTCGAAAACAAGATCCAGATGCTTGAGATGTGTTTCTCTGTTCGGACTTGCGATTAGACAGTCGTCAACACACGCGTGTACGAAGTTGAGACCTCTAAAAACGACGTCTATGAATCTTTGGAATGTTTGCGCAGTGTTTCTTAGACCGAAAGGCACTCGAAAAAATTCATAGAGTCCGAAGGGAGTTATGATAGCTGTTTCCGGTATGTCGTCAGTAGCCATAGGGATTTGGTTATACGCTTTAACCAAGTCGATTTTCGAAAAGACAGTTGTACCTTTCAAGGTTGCTGTCAAATCGTGAATGTGAGGAAACGGGTAACGATCGGGAATGGATTTCGCGTTCATTCGCCGATAGTCACCAGTTGGACGCCAATCGTTGCTGTCCTTTTTAGGGACCATGTGCAACGGAGATGCATATGGGCTACTTGACGGTCGTATGATTCCTAAGTATATCATATGGTCGAACTCGTTTTTCGCTAACCTCAGCTTTTCAGGAGCTAGTCGTCGTGCTTTAGAAAACACAGGTGGTCATGTAGTCGTGATGTGATGTGTAACGTTGTTGGTTACACACGGTAGTTTCGGTTGAGTTTGTTGTATCCCAGGGTACTTATCGAGTAGTGGCTGATAGAGTGGGTCTATCATATGTTTAATTGTGACTGGGGATAATTTGCAACCAGTAAAAGAAGTTACGCAAACGGATAAATTAGTGTTTCCGTCTACTAGCCTCCGTTTGCGAGTATCGATTATCAGATGATGTTGTAGAAGGTCCATGCCAATGATTGGCATAGAAACATCTGCAACAACGAAGATCCAGTGAATGTGTTTGCGTAAACCCACGTTAAGGTAAACGTACCTTTTGCCATACGTGGCGATCGGTTTTCTGTTTGCCGCCTGTAAGTTTAGGGTCGATTCGTGAAATCGGTCGTTAGGATTTGCTAGGAGAACGCTAACTTCTGCGCCAATGTCGACGAGGTAGCGAACTCTCGTTGTCACATCTGTGACGTATACCAGACGGCTATGTTCGCCGGCTACGGTTGCCGTTAACGCGTGCCGGCTTAGAAGTTTCCCGAGTTGTTTTTCGAGTCACTCGGTTTCGTGTTGGGAAAATTGCAGGGTTTTCTGCAATTTCTGGAAAACTTTCCATACTGGTTATGATACCAGCACCAGTCGGGGTTATCCGTCTCTCGTGGTCTAGAGACAGATCGCTTACGTGAAATGCTTCTACGTGGGGTGCACAAAATCTTACGGTCGGTACGAAGACTAAGGTAACGCGTGAGTGTGTGACATAACTCGGTTATATCATTCTAAGTCGTTTCAGGTTTTTCTTTGACTGAAAATACCTCCGTAGTAGAAGGTTTCGTAATTTCTAAAATGCAGCTGGCTCAGAAATTGCAACCGATCCACATCAACTATACTGAGGACAGCTTCATTTGCAACTGCACAGGACTTTCCGAAGTGGACCTAAGCGCTGACTTGGTGTTCCGGAAACTGCAGCACTTAAGACTTGACACTTCTCCTGGCCCGGATATGGTTCATCCTGCCATACTGAGGGAGGCAGCCTCAATCCTGGCAACGCCGCTTAGCGTGATGTTTTCACACTCGCTTAGCCGAGGCAAACTACCGGAAAATTGGAAGTTGGCTCACATCACACCAATTTTCAAAGGTGGTCGACGCAATGAACCTTCAAGTTACCGGCCGGTAGCTCTTCTGTCGTTACCTTCAAAACTCATGGAGTCCCTGATATGCGACGGTTTAAATGACTACCTACTGTCCTTAAATTTCTTCTCACCCCAACAGCATGGTTTCAGGAAGGGTTACTCTTGTATAACCAACCTGCTGACTGCGGTGGACAGATGGACAAGCATCCTCGATCGCAAGGGAAAGGTTGATGTCATTTACCTTGATTTCTCAAAAGCTTTTGATAAGGTTAACCACTTGTGTCTTATCAACAAGCTCAAACGACTAGGTATCAAACCACCTCTAATCGACTGGCTTACTTCATACCTAAAAAATCGACACTTTAAGGTTAGGGTTAATTTCACTTTATCTCAAGCTATGGAATGTCCTAGTGGGGTCCCCCAGGGCTCAGTACTAGGGCCTCTTCTCTTCTTGATCTACATAAATGATCTTCCTCAACAGGTAACGTCAGACTTATTACTTTTTGCCGACGACGTGAAACTTTGGAGAGAGATACGCAACCAAGACGATATACAGGCACTTCAAGAGGATCTGACTCGACTTCAAAGTTGGGCAGACGATAACGGACTTACCTTTAACACTTCTAAGTGTAAAGTAGTCCATCTGCGACATGTCGCAAACTACAGTTACAACTTAGGAAACTCCTCTCTAGTATCCCAAGTCGAAAAAGATTTAGGAGTCCTGGTGCCCCATGACTTAAAGTCTTACGCTAACTGTGACAAAAATGCCTTCCGAGCAAACCTTGCACTGGTAACGTTGAGGCGCATTTTTGGCCAGTTTGACGGAAGAACTTTCCACACAATCTTCAATAGTTTCATCCGTCCCCATTTAGAGTACGGAAACATAGTACTCCCCCCTCACTCCAAAAGGATAAGGTCACTTTGGAGCGTATCCAACGGCGAGCCACGAAATCAGTTCGAGGACTCAAATCTAAGCCTTACGAAGAACGCCTCCGTTCACTAGACCTTTACCCACTAGAATATAGGCGTCTTAGAGGTGATTTATTAATGGCTTATAGTATTCTTAACACTTCTGGACATCCTCTTAAACACCTACTTAAGCTTAGTTCGAACAATAACCTAAGGGTAACACCCAGAAACTGGAAACACAACATAGCAAGACGGAATGTAGACACAACTTCTACTCCTTAAGAGTTGTCAAAAGCTGGAACTCGCTGCCGGCCGAGCTAGTCCAAGCGACTTCTCAGGAGTCCTTCAAGAGGCAACTTGACCTATTCTTAAGGACCAAGGACAGCATCGCACTATGATTTACCAATTTCTTTTCCTCTTTTATTGTTAACATACCTAGGTTCCTGCCTGGAGGATTTGGTGATCCCCTGCTACTAGACACGGAAGCCTGTTAAGCGAAAGCTTCTTCTATTCCGTCCACAACCATTTGAACCATTTGAACCACTTATGTCCAACAAATCTAAAAAGTAATTGTTTATTGGATTTATTGGACAGTTGTACTAATGCGCGGCTGTTCGCATACTTGCTTCCCTATGTAAATTAATCCTCCCATTTGTTAAATATGTCTGCTTCTGCTGGGAATTTGGCATTGGTTTGGGATGACCTAAAAAGTGGTTTCGACGCTATATTCAGGCTGGAGACAATCAAAAGAAAAAGATACATGGAGCTTCATACTCATGTTTACAATTACTGTACATCAGTCGACCCGAAATCTCATGCAACCCCCAGTAGGAATGCTATAGAAACTGAACCTGGGGGAAATTAGTAGGTTTTGAACTGTACAAAAAGTTGCGCAATTATTAAAGGCTCATGTCCACTCCTTGAAGCTAGTAAATTACAATATTTTCCAGTCATTTAATCTTTACAGAAAGGAAATAATCTAGTCGATGAAGAAACTCTTTCATATTACGAAAAGGCTTGGACAGAATTCCGTTTTGCATCCAGAATTCAGGAAGGGGTTTGTAATTACTTGAATAGACATTGGGTTAAACGAGAATGTGAAGAGGGACGAAAGAATGTTTATGTCGTTTATACAGTACGTGATTCTTTTTATTGTAGTGAAGTATTTGAAGTTGTAGTACTAAGTGCATCATAAAAGATTTCATGGTTTTTCTTGATATTATATGCACTCAGAACAGTCAGTAATCCTCTACTTGTGGTTATCTATTCATCCAACCTTGGTGGCTTTCATGTATCGTAGTTCACTTAGATGTTATAATTAGTATTTGTTGTGTATCATGTCATTCCATCATCCACTCATTCCAGTATGAACTCCTGCAATCGTAATTCGTTTCCCTCTTTAGTTTATAAATGTCACCCACTTTATAACAGTATATATAAGTTACTAAGATCAATGTTGGCTAGTGTTGGAGACGGTTGGAAGAAAGTTAGGGGCGACAAAACCAAAACGTGGCGTCAGTGCTTGAAGTCACTAATTTCTGGTCTGAGCCATGTTGGTAGATGCAGACTACTTGGTTGGAGACTGTGTGACATGACTCAGAATCCATCACAATGGCATAGGTGTATACACTCTGTCTTCCCTTAAACCGTGTGATTAGAATTGCTTTTATCTTTCTTTCCACCAACGAATTCTTTCTTCCTGTACTATATCTTTATATGCAATCTTTCTTTTATATATTATTATCATTGAAGGGACTACCTCTATGAATTTGGTGTTCATCTTGTTGTGCTAATGAGGTATGGCAAATTGGACCGATGCACATATGTGCCTGGTCCTATTTTGTAGCTGAGTGGCCGACTGACTCTAATTTTCGAGATCGTGCCAAATATTTATTTCAGGTATAAGATTTCCTACCAAGTGTTTTTGTCACAGACAGGTTAAAAATTATGATCCCTTTAGTAACCTTTGGTGTATTTCACCTGGTCCTAGTGATTTTACAGGTTTGTTTAGTAATGAGATTATTGGTGTTTAGGAGTTACCCTATCCAAATGTCATTTAGATGCTTCCGCAGGGTTTTTTCAGACTTTGTTAGTGCTATCTCTACCACGCATACTGTTTCATATGGTTAAGTTCTCCACTAAAACGTATAATGGTCGTCTGTGCATTTCTATTTCTGTATGTTTCTTACTCAGTCCCTTGCTCAATAATTATGACCTTTTTGGAATGATGGTCTCAAAAAATTTGTGTTCATCTGAATGACATTTAGTATATAGTGGATGCTTTGCTATTATTTGGCCTAAGTAGTCATCCAGTCAATTACAATGTAGGACCACGTACATATGTGCATCGGTCCAATTCGCCATACCTCATTAGCACAACAAGATGAACACCAAATTCATAGAGGTAGTCCCTTCAATGATAATAATATATAAAAGAAAGATTGCATATAAGGATATAGTACAGGAAGAAAGAATTCGTTCGTAGAAAGAAAGATAAAAGCAATTCTAATCACACGGTTTAAGGGAAGACAGAGTGTATACACCTATGCCATTGTGATGGATTCTGAGTCATGTCACACAGTCTCCAACCAAGTAGTCTGCATCTACCACCATGGCTCAGACCAGAAATTAGTGACTTCAAGCACTGATGCCACGTTTTGGTTTTGTCGCCCCTAACTTTCTTCCAACCGTCTCCAACACTAGCCAACATTGATCTTAGTAACTTATATATACTGTTATAAAAGTGGGTGACATTTATAACCGCTTACACGTCGGTGACGACTAGTTTATTGGCCACCTAAGTATGCGTATTTACTGTGTGAGAGGTTTTTCGGTTAAAAATCGTATGTGTATACATGGGGAGACAACTTGCTCTTTAGGATATTCGGTTTTTGACTGAGACTGCAAGTTCGGGCTCCGCTACATCTGATGCGCCTTGGTTAGATGGGTAATGCTATCATGCCAGCTGGATGGCTGAAAGCGATGTCGATCAGTTATGTTGGTTACACCATTTGATTGTCATATTACAGTAAAATTGTCATATAGTAGACTTTATAGTCAAGTCAACCTGTTTATTTTAGAGTCTTGACTGTGTTGAACGATCATTCGTTCCTGAACTAGATACCTGAGTTCTGTCGTAGTTCAGTATTTATTTATTTGGTATTTATTTAAGCGTATAAACATTGATACAAAGGATACCAAAATATATATGCGTGACAATAAAAGTGAGATTGTTAAGAGACATAGAAAAGGTAAGTATATAATAATAATAATAATAATAATAATAATAAAAGACGAATGAATTAATTTATAACAGTAAATAACATTAAGAATGACAATAATAATAGTAGCTATAGTGAAAGAAGCAGTTCATCTAAGGAAAATACAATCAGGATGGAATGTTCCTCATATTTAATGAAGAAAGTAAAAGAAAGCTACAATAGGATCCCCACTGGCTTGTATTCTGAGCCATGTCGGGTAACACCTCAAGCTACTCAAGGAAATGTACAGGACTAACAGATGCCAGTCCTGTGCAGTTTTTTTCTATAGCACAGACCCACGTCATAAGCTGACTACCTATCCACTCTTTCCAGTCAATCCCAGATTAGGTAAATAATGTATGAGTCGCTTAACATCCTCAACTTGAGCAGGCTAGGTTTCACAAGTATTGGTCAGAATTGCTCTCACTGACGCGCTGTAGATCCAACCTTTACCAGCTAGGGTGGCATCACGAAGGCGTCAAAGATGGCCCGAATTGGTATAAACCGCTCTGTTTTTCACTGTGATTTAATATTACCAGTCACGCCATCACCAGCACCTATACAACTACCCAGATACATGAACTCGACTATTATCTGCTCATCACCAAGAGTAGATGCAGGTAGTGCCCTACCAGGCTGAGAAAAGTACTTTGCACTTAGAAGGTACAAAGCACATGCCATACCTACGGACACTAATTGCCAACTAATTGCCGTTTTCGTGGTTTGATTATTATCTCACAATAAGATATCATCCGCATGCTCAAGGTCGGAATACATTTCTCCAGATAACAAATCCTCACCACTATTACCTAGACCCGTATGAGCTGTTTCCAGAACGTCGTCAGCAACTAAGTTGAAAAGGAATGATGATAATGGGCAACCCTACGTGACCCCAGTGTTTGAATGAAGCAGTGAAGAGAGATGGTTGTATTCCCCTACTCTGTTTGAAGTATTTGTATATAAGGCCTTCAAGATGTTAATAATCCTCTCTAGGACACCCTTTTTCAATAGACAATCCTAGAGAACAGTCCTGTTAAAGAAATCGAAGCGGGCCTGATATCAAGAAATGCAACGATTGTTGACCTGCAATACCTATGGTGGTGTTCTAACACTTAGCGAAGGGTGAAAATATGACCAATGCATCTTCGATCAGAACGAAAACCAGTCTGATCCTCACAAGTCAATCTTTCAGGAGTTTTGGACCATCTGCGAAGTATGTCGGTAGTAATTTGAGCGCAATCGGAAGTAAACTTATCCCGCGATAGCTTTTGCATAGGTGACGTAAACCCTTTTTATTGATAGGGGCGACTATCAACCTATTTCATAGTGTTGAAACACTCAGTTTACTGGTCTACTGTTTGGTACACCGTTCATGAATTAGCTTTGCTTTATTGACAACTGTTCCTATTCAGCCAACATACTTATCGACTTGCTGTTCATAAAAAAGCTTGTTTGGAAATTGATTTTTTGGTTATTTTTCTGCTTAATTGACATTTCATGTCTTTATCGTTTAAAGACCTCGTAATCATACATTTTCGTGTTTTTTGGAAAAAAATAGTTGTCAGCTCTGAAGAGGTAAACATTGAGCTTTCATATGAAGACTTAAATGACCGTTCGATTTTCTAAAGAACAAATGTATTTCATCACTTTCTGCATATTTAGTATTAGAGACGTAACAAACAAATATTTCGCAAACTTCTGTTTATTGTAGCTTGCACTGATAACATGGCGCGAACATTTACTAAAACCTCACGCTAGGGTTTTAATCAGCGCAATTCTTCGTGAGATCGAACGTGAACGACGTGGAGAAATTTTATCTACCTTACGACTAAGAAAGATTATTGAGTGCCTGGTTGAGTTGGGTATTACGTCTGACCAACAGTCTTTCTCAACATCTACGTTAACTGGAACTGCTTCATCACCTAGTGAACCCTTGCCATATCTAATGAAACCTTTTAAATCTCCTAATTTTCCCCCTAAACCTAGTGGTTCTACTTTAAAACCAAATAAGTCTGAAGTGGTAAGTACTTTGAGTTACTGTTTGCATATTAATGTTCAATTCTCATAACCCTACCTATCTACTCATCATCGCTCGTCTCTCAGTTTATTGTAAACAAGTTAGCATCAAACTATCTAGTTATTTACTTATCTAACGTTTTAGATGGAGACTATGTTTGTCAATCTATATTTTGTCACACAATCAGTGGTGTCACTATCGAGTACTAGATTACTTTTTTGTTATTATTTCAACATATAGATAATGGTACAAAGAGGCACGAAATACATCTGCGCCACACAAATCTCATTCGATATATGTGAGGGCTATGATACTGCCCGGGTGCCCAGGCCGAAGCAGGTGGTTTTCTTAAGGGGCCACTCCCCGAGCCTTTGACCTAATGGTCTGATCCACAAGGTGATGGAGCATCGTAAGGAGATGCAGTCCCATGGAAGCCGGTGACCAGCAATTGGTTCATACGCCATTTGTTCCTGCAGGATACTGGAGCCCATATGCACCATTGGTTTTGAATCCGGTTAAAGCGCCGGACATTCGCTTTTCGTCCTCTCATTTTCGTAAACAACACCCCCGCCACGAAAAGGCAGTGGGTAGGACTTCCCTGGCAGAGGCTATATACGCGTGGCCGTGTGAGAGCATTTCGAGAGGGAGAGCGGACTCTCCCCACTCTCGGCCGTACCAGGGCATTTGGGGGCACTAGATTACTAGATTATAGTGATAGGTTTCCTTAGGTTTTACTATTTCAGACTAACTTAATGAGATTTCAAGGGATAAAATATACAGGACGATAAATAAAATAGTTCTCAGCTTTCATAGTGAACACGTAGGAGACAGCACTATGGGTTCTCAAGTGAGGTTTTTACAACTGTGGTTAAGCTAATATTTCATATAACCATCTGTTGATGTTCTCTTTGGTGTTAGTGACATTTCTTAGGTTAGTTTCAAATGATAGGCATGTCAACCTTATATATTCAAATGATCTCACGAAATTTTTCAAGGAATATATAAGGTTGACATGTCTCTACCTCCTGATACTTTATTACCTACTTTTATCTGTTAGTTCGTATATGAAAAAAATAATCAGAAATCGATCCACTCTGCGTGAGTCCTTTGAATCTTTTATGTAGCATAAATTCTTAGTGAAATTTTTTCTGCATCATTCATTGCTTACTAGGTAACTTTTGTTCACAGTAAAATATGGAGTGGTACATGCTAAGCAATAGCATCATGGCTTGTAAATATCAAGAATGATGGTTGTATTTGTACATATGAGTAAACAATTGATTATTCGGAGAAAAATATCTTAATGCTCATACTAATGTCGCTGGGAAGCAAATAACATCATATCTTGTCCTTAGTGTTCTGGTCGAGGTGTATTGAAAAGATTAATATTACTTACTCCATTTATTTACACGGATAATTGTGTATGATAAGAACATAAATTTAGATTTTATATCTATCAACTATGGTACAGTGTTTATAAGTTCAACTATATTAATTGGACTAATAATTTGTTCGTTAACGGTGTAGTGATTCATCATAATTCTTATTGTTGGAAGTGTTTAGTTATCCAAGTTATGTCTTATCATATATATATTTCCCCTTAAGTTAACGTATTTTGAAATACTTTGGTTTTTTTTTAGGAATCCAGCTTGCAGGGCACATCAAATAAAACCACCCCAAATTTCCGAGGTCCACTTCATTCCGGAGATCCAGTGGATGAATCGACTCCCAATACTCCTAGTGCGACATCATCATTGACATCGGACACGCGAACCAATCTATCAGTTTATCAGGAATACTTTGAACGACCATTTTTGACTGAAACTGAACGGTATTACCGATTAGAAAGTGCTCAGTTTTTGCAGTCAAACACAGTACCCGAATACCTTCAAAAAGCAAGTCATATGTGTATTTACATACGATATTATGATAAATTATATATTCATTTCTAGTCAGTATATTTACATTCTGAATAAAATAAAGACTTAAATAAAATAAAGATTTTAGTGGCAGACTAATCTTCTCCATATTTCCTGACTTTAATGGTCACATAACTTTATGTGAATAAATGAAGTGGTCAACTTATTTCTAAGTAGGTATCGCATCAAGCTAGTTCTGCATCATTGTTAGTTGCAGACACTTGTTTCGACCTGCGTACATGTTTGGTCTAAGTAAGTACTACAAGACAATCGGCTAACTTCTAACCATTCACTTCGGCGATATTTTATAGCCAAACGATTTATTTCTTAAACTTCGTAAAAATAGTGGTAGGTACCGCAACAGTGCCTGAACCTCTTTACTATTAAAAATAATTCTTTACAAATATAGTTGTAGGGGATAACCAATGTTAATAATTAAGTGGATTAGAAGTCCAAATTATCCTTCAAGATAATTGTAGTTGATTTAGTATACCTGAATCTGCGTTACTGTAGTGATTGTTGTTTGACCTTGAATATTGTTTGGTAGCTTGTGGTAAGACTAATCTTTCACATTGTCCGGGTTTAAACCAATGATTACTTGAATTATTGACTGATATTGGCATGTCTATTAGTCTCGTTACGTAGATGTTTACAGATGTTCATTCCGACATTCAGCTAGTGGAAAAGCAAAGTAGTAAGAAATAACATTAACATTAGTGGGCAACTAAATATAAGAAGTCCTTTTTGTTAAACAGTGCACAGAGACTGTGTTTTAAAACACATTTCTGGAAAATGTTATGTACAGATTTGCATCATTTTTTAAACAATTAGATATGAATTAAGTCAAGAGAACCTAGTTAAACAGACGAAACTATGAGAATGAAGTAATTTTTGTTAATCTAAAAGGATGTGTATGCTGTTGAGAATATGCGGTCAAGTGTCAGTTCCACACTGCCCACATTAAATTGTTAATTATCTTAGAAAAATACTTTACCGTTGAGATAACTAGGTTAATCTAACAGTATAACTTTTTTTTATGGATCACTACAATTGCTGGTTTTATTAATTCCACTGACCAACTAATTTTCTTGTCAAGATAAAAACCTTGTGCAACATGTCTTATAGCTGTGTTTAATCTCATGAATCATGAAACTAAACGTCATCATAGTTTCTCAACGATAGCCATTTAAGATTAATATTGCTTATAGTCACCTCTGCCATTGGATAATTATTGAATATTTAGTATTTTGTATTTATGCTTAAATTGTGCTGAATCTTTTACTATTTATAATTTAGTTTTGAAATTACATTCATTTATAGGTGGAAACACGATTAAATGAAGAACGTATTCGTGTTCAAACTTATCTGCATATAAGTACACTTCCCAAATTAATTAGATCTTGTGAACATTATCTAATTGGTGAACATATAGATCGGTTAACATCTGTCTTCTCAGATCTTTTCAATGAAGATAGAGAGGAAGGTGAGTTTAAAAAAATTTGTTTACTGATTAGTTTATTGTTTAATTGAATATCACAAGAACGTTAACAATTTGCTCACATGTGCATGTATTCATAACTGAACATAAAACACAGTGTCTGAGACTTAATTCTTCAGACTAATAATAAGATAAGGTTATTTAAAACTCCCCTAAATGAATTTATATCCGATACAACACAACATGCAACAATCGAATCACAATTGACGGAGAAGATTTGGAAGATGTAAAAAGTTTAACAGCATCATTGATGAGCACAGTGGATTTGATGCAGATGTGAAGGCGCGGATCGGCAAAGCAAGAGCAGCATATTTACAACTGAAGAACATCTGGAACTCAAAACAGTTCTCAACCAACACCAAGGTCAGTACTTTCAATGCAAATGTCAGAACAGTTCTACTATATGGGGCGGAAACATGGAGAACTACGAAAGCCATCATCCACAAGATACAGGTGTTTACTAACAATCGTCTACACAAAATACTTCGGATCTGTTGGCCAGACACTATCAGCAACAACCTACTGTGGGAGAGGACAAACCAGGTTCCAGAGGAGGAATAAATCAGGAAGAAGCACTGGAAGTGGATGGGATACACACACATTGAGGAAATCACCCAACTACATCACAAGGCAAGTCCTCACATGGAATCCTCAAGGCCAAAGGAGGAGAAGAGGAAGACCAAAGAACACAATACGTCGAGAAATGGAGACAGACATGAGAAAAATGAACAAGAATTGGACAAAACTGGAAAGGAAGCCCCAGGATAGAGTGAGTTGGAGAATGCTGGTCGGTGGCCTATGCTCCATTGGGAGTAACGGGCGTAAGTAAGTAACTGAATTTTTCGCGTACACTTGTTTGAAATTTAAAGTGAATTTAGAAATCCTACACTTATGCACTACAGTTTCCTAGAGATTGGAAAAAAATCTCATATGATTGTTTCTAAACTAATAATAATTAGACTCATTTTGGTTTTGCAATGTTGCACATTTCATTATTTAAATGTTTTAAAACTTTTAGAATGATTCAAGTCCTTAAACCAACAGATAATTGTTAAAATAGAATAGAAATATTATTTAGCATTTAGATAGGTGTCATTACTATGTCTATTTGTCAGTTTGGAAATACACCGATTCGATACTCGAATGGAAGATGCACTTTGATTAATGTTGTATAGTTAAAAACGATTTTAAAAAAAGCCCCGTATACATAATTGACTAGCTTATTGCGACTCATTAACCCGGGATATTGGTACATTTAAAAAAGCTGGTTATCCTCTTGAGATTCAGAGACTTTTCCGTGTGTACAGCTGTTGGTTAATTTTATGGTAATTTTCTAGTTATGCTTAGAAAAAAAGATTCAGTGCAACTGTTACTCGACGGTCTTTTGATAAATGTTTACCTTTGCTGATAACATCCTATAACTTTCTTCGAATATAGAAATTTTTTGATAAGTAAAGAATAAGTAAAGAAAGCCAATAATTTGAATGTTTGTGATATATCCCAACGTGAATCATGAATGGTAAGTGTTGGGATCTATTAATGGACAAATATTATACCTATATTTTATTGTATAATTGTTAAGCAACTTAACTATACATATTTGTAAAGTTAGCTGTAAATTGTTATCATATATCTATGAGATTCTGATAGTTTATTACTGTTCCAAAGATCCCCTCATTTATAATTAGGAAAAGTTTCATCCCCACATGTTTTTCCCTTATCAGTTACCTGTGTTTTTTTAATATCCCATCTCTGCACTCATATTTAATTTACGATATTATGAAATTTTATTGTAATATTTAGATATATGGCGAATGTATCGCTTAGTTGGTCATTTTCCTAGTGGAATACGTGTTCTTGTCTCTGTCATGGAAGATCATGTTGCTGATAAAGGATGGGAAGCTATCCGTCAAGTGGCTGAAGCTGCTTTAAATGTGAGTTGATGTTTATTCACTTTTTTTGCTTTTCATATCTTTTTACCACACATTGACAATCAGTGAAAAGATTTCTCTTAAGCTTTTTTTGTTGATGGAAATGAACTTCTGCATCGATCAAACAAAAAAATTAATTGTCTGTTAATACTATGAAATAAAAGCTTCAGTTTCCTTGTTTATTATTATTGATCACTAGTGTTAAAAGCATTTTGGATCAGAAAGCTTATACCATCACATAATCGAGACATTTGATAGGCTTTACACGGCTATACATTTTTCTCAATTTTACTTCGGGTTTATTTGAATTTTTAGGATCCCAAATTGTATATTGATACAATATTAAAAGTTCATCAAAAACATTATAATCTTGTATTATCCGCCTTCGCTTGGGATCCTGCATTTTCACGTGCCTTAGATAAAGGGTGTGAACGTTTTATAAATCGTAATGCTGTCACTGAATTAGCTGGAAATCAAAGAAAATCCCCTGAACTTTTAGCTAAATATGCAGATTTCTTATTAAAGAAAAGGTTAGTTTATTATTATGAATTAATAATGTTTTAAATTATATCTCCTAAATTTTCAAGCCTTGGTTGTGTTCATGATCATTTTTAAAATATTACTACTGAATTGTATTTTGTAGCTCGGTATTGATATTTATAATCACAAGGTTTGTTATGAGCCTTTACGTATATTGGCCTCCTTTTTTGCTTAGCTAAAAAAATGCAATCATTTACACCTGTTACTCCTTGTGGAAGGGTATAGGCCGTCTAGCAGCACTCTCCATCCAACTCTATCCTGGACAATCCTTTCCAGTTGTTATTTGTCCTTTTGATATCTGCTTCCGATTCCCGATGCGGTGTCTTCTATTGTCTGAATACATATGCGCCACACATGTCGCTTGATTTGTGTGTGGACAGTGATACTGCCATCCTCTTTGGACAGCATTAGAGCAACTTCCTGAGTGTGCGAGATATTTTCTTCTTCATGACCAGAGTACGGCAGCATCTCTCCTGAATCTATCCTTTTCTGTTCAGCTTGGGTTCAATGCGTTTCACTGATTCTGTCAAACTCTATAATTGCTTGATCAGCACTTAACTTAGTGAATAATATGAGGATTTAGTTGGTTTAATTGTTCAATCGTAAAGTTCAGAACACCAGAAACCATTTTGTATTATATATATATATATATATTAAAGCACTTGACTTTTAACTAACAGGTAACAAGTTCAAACTACGCTCTACTTATTTCGTGTTGAGCAACCAGATAGTATCACAAGGTTTCTTACAGTTGATGTGACGTAAAACGGAATATAATACCATGTAAACAAAGTATTAATCTACTAACTCATTCACCATATCTTGAGTGCTGTTAGAAGTATGAGGACGGTTATCACTTCCCGGGTGCTCACACTGTGGAAGAGTTCTTCTGGAGGTACCTGGAAAGGAAACTGGATTAAAGGTGGCCTTAGTGTCCTGAGAGTGTGACCGCAGTGCCCAAGCGACAACTGCATGAAGTCGGCCACACACGACCTTTTTATTAGTAATTTTTGTGTTAGCTCCGTACTTGTTGAGACCCTACCGCTGAAGACGGATATCCGTGGGATAAGGCGAGGTGTACATTTTTAGGTTCGACCTTTTCTAACCCCACCCCTCCTTGTGGGAAGGCAGCATCTCTGTCATGCTGGTTGTCTGAAGGAAACACCTTACTGCTGTCACACCTCAGTACCAAGTTATGATTACAAGTATTTGTTGCGTTTCTCCAAATCGAGGATTAAAACTAGTCATAGTAACTGGAGATAATCTGGTTATGTTATTTCACACTTTCTTGTCAATTTTATTACCGAGTGCTTTCATAAGAGTCCATATATATATGTTTGTATATGGGCTATGTTCTAACTGTTTAGTGCTTCTTTCTTCCTTTTTCAGTGCGAAAGATATTCAGTTGGATGATTTAGAAGAAACACTTGGACAAGTAGTGAGTATTTCAATATTTTTTCAATTATTTTTCCGTGTAGCCTAACTGATACAGACTGCATAATTCTTCTTTCTTCTTCTTTTTATAAAATTATCTCAATTGTATTGAAAAATCTATCAGTACAAATTATTTACAAATGAAATGACCATAAAATCTCTTCGAAGTGTTTTGTTTTTAAGGTTTGGAATTATTTATCAGTAGTGTTGATAATATTTTCTACATTATTTCAAAGCATATACTTAATATATCTTAGTTTGTATCATTCAATAAAGTGTTCTTTGTATATGAATTTGTGCTAATCTGCAGTGAAGATACCCACGATATCCCTTTTAACACTCCTCATTCTTCGCTTCCCGTCACTATGTAGTTTTGCTTATTTGTTCTGGTTAATCATTTTAGATGAATGTGTTCCGCTATATTGAAGATAAAGATGTCTTTCAAAAATTCTATAGTAAAACACTGGCTCGCCGTTTAGTTTACAATCAATCTGTATCCGAGGATGCTGAAGCTTCTATGATTTCTAAATTAAAAGAAGCTTGCGGTTTTGAATACACCGCGAAATTACAACGGATGTTTCAAGATGTTAATGCTACTAGAGAATTGAATGCGAAATTTTCAGATTATTTACAAAAACAAGAAGAAGCCAATGGAAGCACAATTAAAGGAAGTAAGTTTTATGTATGTACCAAACTTTTATCTTTAACTATTCAAGAAGATGATTTTTCTTCTTTGGTTCGGCTTTCTGAAAAAAGTTTATTGTAAAGTTGAACTTCTCAGTTTCGTCTTGATGTCTCGTTTCAAAGTTTTTGTTAACCTGTTTATATATGTTGATTTGTAACTTTCGTCTGTGAACCAGTGAAAAGTGTTTCCATAGCCTTTATTTTTAAAAGTTTTTTGTCACCTAGATGTTTGTGAAACTGTCGGAGCATTTATTTAAACTCTAAGGTGTGATGCATCTGGTTCCTTCTTGTGTCAATATTTATGTTCAAATAAAATAAGAAAAATGTATTTAAGAGTAAGTTACCAAAAATCCGACTCATCCAAATAACAAAGCAACTTTCATACCATAAAATAGTCCATAACTATGATTGTAAAGGTAGTAGGTTTGACATGTTTTTTTAAATCTTTCCCGATTTCCTACCTAAAATAGCCTACTGATTATCTTATTTTTAGTCACTTTTATTATTCATACTGGTTGTTATGCTAAGCATAAACTAATTTATTATATTTATTTTTTATTATTATTTAAACACATAAACATTGGTACAAGGAGGCACCAAATACGTATGCGCCACATAAATCTCATTTGATATGTGTGAGGGCTGTGATACTGTTCGGGTGCCAAAACCGAAGCAGGCGGTTTTTTAGGGATGCCACACCCCGAGCCTTTGACCTGAAGGTCTGATCCACAAGGCAGTCGAGCATCGTAAGGAGATGCATTCCCATGGTAGTCTGTGACCAACAATTGGTTCATACGCCATTTGTTCCCCCAGAGTAGTGGAGCCCATGTGCATCATTGGTTTGGAATCCGGTTAAAGCGCCGGACATTAGCTTTTCGTCCTCTCATTTTCGTAGACAACACCCCTGCCACGAGAAGGCAGTGAGTAGGACTTCCCTGGCAGAGGCTGTACATGCGTGGCCGTGTGACAGCATCTCGAGAGGGAGGGCGGGTCCACCTCTCTCTCGGCCATACCAGGGCATTTGGGGACAATTTATTATAGGTGATAAATCTCACGAGCATTTAGTCAGTAATCTATAGTCTTCTTTTTGAACAAATGGGAGGTTCATTCAAATATGAAGCTTTGTGTTAATTGTTTTTTTCTCTTTATTATTTCATGGAAAAGATACTTTTCAATACTTAATACAGGATATTACTTTCCTTTTGTTCACTTTCTATCTATCCATCCGTCCTTTTTTCTTTTTCAAATAATAGTATAAAGGTTAACACATTGATTTTTTATCTTAGTTCACCTTAAATCATTAAATTTGCATTCTAGGTAAGTATATGATAGTTTTTTATTATTATTCCGCCTCAGAAATAGAAAACTTTTTCTTCGCATGTTAGTGAACATGGGAAGTAGAAACAATTTCAATTAAAATTGTATTATAATATAGTTTGTTTTTATTGTTATTATACACAATCGGTATAAACATCACATACTGACAGTTAGATGTTAAGCTGTGTAAACATCTGATATCATCCAACTGGTTTCCTTGTTAAAACTTGACTAATTAAGAAAGGTTAAAAGAAGGAGAAAGAGAGAAAGAAAGAGAAATCAATAGGTAACTTTACAAATTCACGATAAACTGGTATTATAATACGATGTTGTTGTCATAATAAATAAGTCCCTGGACGCTTGATATTATGATAATTTCAACATGCCATTAGTAAATAAGGGGTTAGAATGGTTGACTAACTGTTGGGATTGATAAATGTTTCAGTCAGTTATTTCTTCTGAGTCATATTTGGAACATAGACATAATTAACGACTTCTGTGACTAGGAGGTGATGTTTGACTTCATCTGTCCTAGGGGTCTCATGATAATTTGTTTCACTGATAGTCGTACCAAAGCTGTAGTTCATCAGATTATTAATTATATTGTAGTGACTTGAATATTCCAGCCTTTAGCCGGTCAACCAACATTGACATGGGATCTTGCACAAATGTTTGTCACACCGAGTCACCATACTTTATATCTGGGCTGGAAGGTAGTAAATCAAAAGATGATAAATACAGCAAGTAAATTAATCTGAACTGTGATCAAAGATCTATACATAAGATACGTATGTAGTATATTCTAATAATGCTGTCAAATATAACTATTATGTAGCCGCAACCGGAAGTGGAACGCCTGGCAGCAGAAGATTGAATTGAAGAGAATAAAAAGGAAATGAGAGAGGAATCAAAATAACGACAGAAGTAGAGGAATAATCGAGTATGTAAAGGGCAACGCAAAGATGTTCAAATGATGTATTTAATATATATATATAATTTTTCATTAAACAATAAATTGATTTTCCCCACATGAGTTCTCGTTCACTACACGTATACATGAGCTCAATAGGATCACATGCAACTGAATCATGAGTTCATGAATAGCAATTGATTTAATACTTCAGGGAGAAAACATGTCACTAACAATTAGACTGAACCATTTTAGTAGGTGCGGATTACCTGGTTGAATTTCACTTGATTATCATAATGACCTGAGATTTTGAATGCAATGACTCAAATCTGTTCGCAGTAGGGTAGGTGAATTCACTTGTTGTTTTCCCTTAGGACTCGAGTCGTAAAATCCTGTACTTTTTTATCTATTTAATTTTTTCATTACTATTGATACCGTTACTACTTATACTATTTTGGGATTTGTTTTGATAATTTGATTTCGACGGGTTAATGTGCTAACGACGGCTTAAACTAATGCAAATATACGTAGATATATGGACACAACTCAGTGACTGACTGAAACAGTTTGTGCTTTCCAACATGACTCAGACGAGAATTCAGTGATTTCATTGATTAGTTCTATGCCTTGATCTTGTCATTGTTATCTTTATTCCAATTAACAATTTTTTTACTCACTATTCCACGTCACGGTCGGTGTGTCTTTGATGTACATGGCTGAATGTGTCAATATCGCCTATTAGATGTATACAGGCTGGTAACTTCATAATTTAAACATTCGACTGTTAATCTTAATGTCTGTGGTTCGAAACCCACTCAAAATATTTTGGTTTGTTCAGCTGAATGGAATCACATGGTGGTTTAAAACTGGATCCCAAAACTGAACTAGATTTCTCTACCTCGTTATTTAGAATAATTCAGCTCAACAAGTAACATTACTAATAAAATATAAACACATCCAACTGACATTTTCCCAATAGTATGCAACATGAATGTTAAGTTGCAATTTTTGGTACTATAAAATAAAGTATATGAAGTAACCAGTGTAAATTCGTTCCTACTTCAGTAGCCACAAAGTGAAGTCGTTTTTGCAGTTCGTCTAGCACGTCCTTTTTGAGTGAATTATGTACTCATCCAGAATAAATATACGAAAATCTCTCTAATACTTATCCTTTTTGTGGAAATAATCTCTGTAAGTATCTTAATTGATGTGCAATTACTTTGTTTTCACTTTAAAAAGTCAAATATATCGTGTAATTAAATGTTTAGATGTTATCAAACCTTTCGCTGGAGAGATGATATGATTCGATCATCTTTTTCTGTCTTTTAAACATGATACTGTCCATATATATATTTATAAGTAGTGTCATGTTATATATCATCTACTCGCACACACACTATGCAAGTCATACATATTTCATTATATACTTTATTTAATAATAGTAGCCATCCTAGTAACATTCCATTTAATCACATGGGCACATGATGTCTGATGTAATTTGAAAAAAAAAAGCATATGATTTTCTCGTATTACACAATAGCTTTACTTCCCTAGAGAGATTTGTTTGTTTCTTATTTAAATTTAGTGCGTTCTTTTTGTTTAACTATGTGTTGACCATGTGTATTTATTTGATATCCTATATAAAAAATAACTAACTAGTGTATATTATACGATGTATTGTATCATAGAATAAGTTTTTAATATGATTTTTTTATTGATCACATCTAGGGAATTGAATTTCCACTAAGTGTTAAAATTCAATTATCATATATATATATATATATATATGCAACAGAACAGAATTCCAACCTGCACAGTGTTTGAAAGTTGAATCATTCACTCAGTCATGACAACAATTCTAATGTCCATTAATTTATTTTCACAGTTGAATTCATGAGTCGATCTAAGCTAGACACCACATTTGGGAACCTGGAAGCACTGGACAACGGTTTCGTTCTAGTATGAGACTCTTCATCAGTGCGTATCCACGATTCCATACCCGGGACTCGAATCCAGGACTTTCGGTCTCGAACGCAAGCGCGTAAACTTTAAACCATTGAGCAGGCATCCGACGCTGTTAATGTTTAAATTTAATTGATCCATAATCTTGCGTAACCCTTTTTGCATTGTTTGAGGTGGATAACTCGCACAACCGACGCGAATTGGTGTTTCTGTTTAAAATTTAATAATATTAAGAATCGCTTTAATCACTGAAATGTATTATGATTAACCATGTTAATTCAATCTTCAACCAGTTTGTCATAGATTCGTATCCTCCTTGAACAAGTTCATATGAAAAATTGTGATTTAACGCAAGCGCATAAATTTCTTTTTTGATAGGCTATCATTTAAATAAACATCTATTTTTTGCTAACATGCTTACCTATTTTGTTATGAATTCCTTGAAGTACTTTCCTATAACATTTGGAAAGATAGTTTCTTTTGTATACACCATTAAGCATGAACTTCATCATTGACTACAAATATTATGTATGGTATCTTTCTTTGTGTAACTTTGCTTCCTTTGATTGCATCATCATGCTATAGTCATACACCTTTCGATTTTCTACATATCATACAAATTGATTTCATTACATTGATCTGGATCTATTTTTCATATTTTGTTATTATAGAAGTGTTTGAAGAGTTTCACAACGATATTGATGACAACAGTTCATAATATTGTACGCTTAACTGATGATTGTTCACATAAGACAATAGGCTAATGACTCGATTACAGCCAAGCAAACAGATTTGAAAACATAATTCAACTACCCGACTGAATAAATTTTCATTTAGTGCATTAAAATGTCCACACATTGAATAAATAAGAGATAAATGATTTGCTGATCTGTTGTTTGCCAATCACTTACATACTTACGCCTATTACTCCCAGTGAAGCATAGGCCACCGTCCAGCATTCTCTAACTCATTCTGTCCTGGGCCTTCCTTTCCAGTTTTGTAAAATTTTTGTTCATTTTTCTCATGTCTGTCTCCATTTCTCGACGTATTGTGTTCTTTGGTCTTCCTCTTTTCCTCCTTTGGCCTTGAGGATTCCATGTGAGGACTTGCCTTGTGATGCAGTTGGGTGTATTCCTCAATATGTGTCTGTTCTATGCACTTCCAGTGCTTCTTGCTGATTTATTCCTCCTTTGGAATGTGGTTTGTCCTCTCCCACAACAGGTTGTTGCTGATAGTGTCTGGTCAACGGATCTAAATTATTTTGCGTAGGCAACAATTAATAAACACTTGTATCTTGTGGATGATGGTTTTCGTCGTTTTCCATGTTTCCACCCTATACAGTAGAACTGTTCTGACATTTGTATTGAAAATTTTGACCCACTGCCACTGAGTCTACTGCTACACTAGTCACTTGCCAATCACAATAAGATCTAACTATATAATACAATTCTTGAGTATCATATAATTTATAAATAGTTTTATTATTTTCTTATTTTATCATCATCAATCTACATAGAGGTGCTTAGTAATGTTTCAATATTGATAAATATTTCATTTATATTTGTGTAGCTGATTTTAATATCATGATTCTTAGTTCAAACGCATGGCCATTTCAAGCTCAAGGACCTTTTTCTATTCCTCCTGAAGTAAGTTATTGACTACTGTTTAAATACTATGATTCTCCTTCTTTTTTAAAAAAATATATCAATGTATTGAATTCGTCAAGTTGGATGAGAATTACTTAGTTAAATTGTTTGTCATTTTAGAAATGTCAGTTTAATTATTCCTATTTTTTGAGGTTTCAGCAGTTTTTTCTCATACGGTCTTCTTAACTGCTTCTTAGTCTCCAAAAATCTACTGTTGGATCCTTAGTGTGGAAGGTAATAAAGAAACTTTCCTTCGAAGAAGATATTGTCCATAGAGAATAAAGTTATTGATTTTAGTATACGTGGCCTGAGGATAGTAGAAACCTCTATAAAAATATGTGACATGGATAACAATATCGGCTACTGAGGACTATCGAAGTATCCAAACACACTTTCTTAATATGTTCGATCAGAAAATATTTGAAATCAATCATTTTTCAGTTACTCATACTCATATTGCCCAGTAGTATATCGAACAGTGATTTACAGTCATTCACTGAACAATCATGTTCACATTTCAAATAAACCGTCATAGTGTGATGAAAAAAGTGTTTACTTATTTTCAAATATAGTAGTAGTAGAAGTTACAGTTTCAATTCTTTCAATTCACTTTCATGTGCTTTTGAGATAAAACTATAATTTATGGACGACCTTTGAGCGACACTGAAGTGACCTTGATAGTGCCTACCTACTTACCAGGGCTAAATGAGGTTTATAAAGCAGTTTAAGGAATAAGGATTATGATATACAGTTGACGGTTAGGGTTAGGACTTAGATTTAGGGTTTTCATTACGAACTGACATCAGATACAATGTCAAAACTCTATTTAGCCAGATGGGTGAATGCATTTCGCGCCAAAATTTCAGACCTATTATCGTAGATCTGATTGGTTCGTCTATAAATTATAATCTCTCCGTTTTTAAAATGATAAATTTCAGTCTTAGTATGCACCCCTCGCCCAATTACTTGAAAAATAAAATACATGCTTCCAATTTATAAGTTTGGTTTTGTTTCATAGTGTAAAAAACACCAAACCCTGTATATCCTGCTTTCTTCAGTTCATGATATCCGCTTCGTCTTTTTTATTATCTTCAATTGAATTCTTTTTTTTCTTCATTATAAAATCGAATCCTAGTTGGAACAATGTCACAATACATTTCTTGCTTTTTATCAAGAACATCATACTGGTCGTAAATTGACATGGTGTTATCATTTATCACGTGGTGAAGTTGTGACTAACTATACTAAGACTAGATATATATTTCAAGTATGTTTATGTTTATATATATATTTATTGGATAATGATTTGTTGATGAATCTTTTGTGAAATGGATTCAAAGGAATTTTTTAATGGTTACTCATTCCGTAATATGTTTGACTTCAATGATAAATAATTTTTTCACACCATAGTCAGTCAGTCAGTCAGTAACAACGTAGAACTTCGTACGTACGTACATCAGTTCGAGTTGCCACACCACATTAGCACAGAGATGCACTTGTCGATTCAAATCCCGTATTGGTAGAGGTAATAAGAGTATAAGCAGTAATTGGGAAGATTAGGGTTTGGAGTATTTGCTGAATTCGATAATATTGAGAGTTCATCATTTATGGTGTAAAGTTCCAAGAAATAGAATGATATTTGGAATTTTTTATATGTATAGTACGATAACCGTACTCAAAAAGACAAAACAAGTGTACACCTATGACAATCTAACCGACTTTCGGTCATATTGTTGTAACGGGTTGTATCCAGTGTGCTACACGCTCACCCCCCCTGACTGATTACTTGAACGAGAATGTGTACTGAACAGTTTTGGCTTGACATCTTAGCTTTTAAGTTTGCAGAACATGGAAATGTTATATATATTTCATTTATTAAAATATTTTACGAAAAATTGTTGTGAAACCAGTCGCTTTGAGTTAGTTGTATATGATTTTACCACTTTTTTTTAAACAAAAGGTTTCAACGTACCAGATGTCTGTTTTAATGTTGTATAATTCATCATTAGTGTACACGGTGTCAGCTATTCAACTACAAACTGGTATTGAAGAAGCTACATTATTACAAATTCTACAGATTTTACTTAAAGCTAAAGTATTGAAAATTGTATCCGATCCAAAATGTGAAATAGATCAATCAACTGTAATCAGTGATGATTCGAACGAATCAAATTTATCACCGGATACACACTTGGCGCTATATACAGATTATAAAAAGTTAGTTGATTTTTGTGTGTATTATTTTATTTCAATTCACAATTATTTGAAGTGTATATTATTTGAATTATATCATTTTTGTGTCAAGATTATCAACAGGCACATGGATTTTCAAGGGTCAGTCTACGTGTTATGTATTATGACAATGTAATTGACCGGGAAGTTAATTTACTGAAGTAATTGAGATGGCTAAACTGATAATCTACTCACACAATATATGTTTATTAATAGTCAATCAAAGCTATTATTTACACATATCAATTTCAACAAAGGTAGTGTGGCTTAACAGATAATCAATCATAAATGAACTTATAAATCATAGAGTATCCTACGGACCTTCACTTTACACTTCTTGTCCTCTGATAACTTCGTATATTTCACCTTAAAAATAGAATACCACGATGGTGTCTTTCATCGTATCATTATTAACCACATGAATAATATTAATTAGCTTATAAATTTTCGACAGACCATGAGTCAATTGAAGCTAGATCAACATGGAAAACCTAGAAGCACTGGACAGTCGTTTCGTCGTATTGTGGGGCTCCTCAGCAGTGCGCATCCACGGTCCCACCTCACGAGGTTGCAATAAGATATCTAAGTGTATTTTCATTAAGATTTTTATGTCATAAACATTAATATACAATAAAATATTGAAATACTTATTGTTTTACAACGTTACACAACTTCACTGTGAACAATTCATAATATTGTGTTATATTTATTCATTACAACAATTTCTAGTCGTTCTTTTTACTTATTGTTGTATATGTCAGGCAACTTTGTCCTTGTATTTCGTAAATACTTGTATGTTATGTTTAGTTTAACAAAATATACATTTGTATAGTGCAAAAATATATGATCGGTCAGTGTGAGGGATCACATGTTCAGTTTAATTTATTAAATTCTGTTATATTTTGTCGGCTAAAAAACATGATCCCAGATTATTTGTACCACGTTTTAGTATATGTTACTGTGTAACTTTACAAAATAAACGCGGTACTTGACGACAATAAAAGTAATCTTGAAAAATTATTTATAGACATCTTTAATATTTAAAGGTTCGGTTTTGAATAGTCTGCATTCAATTGACGCAATTACATTTTTAAAAAAATACCAAAACAAATGTTTTCGATTTCACGTTTTTCCTCATGTCCTCGTATAATACCGTTATTTAGTTAGTCATATAAATTATAGAACGTAACCCATCATGCATCGGCTACCACCACATCAGCAGTACAGCAAGACTAATACAAAAGGATTAATATTTTCAGTGGTTGTAAGGTATATATTAGAGATTTAGAATGTAGTTCAAGGTGTAATAATAATTAATGGAGATTAAAATGGTATAAAATAATTTTGAGACCTAGGATCTATGAGAAGAAAACGAGTGAATGGATCCACACTATTTAGATTGACTCTGAACCAGTTTAATAATTTACTTAGCAAATGCTAATGCTTATACTCTTATTACCTCTACCACTACGGGATTTGAATCGACCACTGCATCTGTGTGCTAATGTGGTGTGGCAACTCGAACTGATGTACGTACGTACGAAGTTCTACGTTGTTACTGACTGACTGACTGATGCATACGACTGTTAATGTTACTATATAAGTAATGTGTGTATTTATTTTATAAATGATCTTGACATTCAGAAACAACCTATTAAACGATATTTAAACATCAAAAATCATTACAAGTGATGCAGACTTTCGGCTTTTAAAAGCTGCGAAACTCTATTATGCAATATTCTCAGCATATTGGTAATCCTCATGTCTATTTTGTTATTAGTAAATAAGGCCAAATAGACCCTTACCTTTTGTGTAAGTGATCATTTCAGTTCTTGCTATTAATCATTTGGAAGTCTAGCTGGTTATATTTATCCATCATTTAGCCCATATTTTATTATGTAAACAACAAAAGGGATTATGTAAATAACATAGTTTTAATGGAAACCTACTGAGCGAACAGTTCTGCTGCTCTATTTTGGAGGAGGAAATGTTATTTAAGAATCACAAGTATAATTGGTTTCTGCATAATACATTAATTTTTTCATGAATAGATAAAAGCTCTCTTATAAAATATGTGTAGATCTGACACAAGCAGGCATAGAAAGTAGAATGCATCAAACAATTACAGAGATGAAATTGGGTAAAAAAAGTGAACAATAGTAGTAGATAGGTGTAGATACAGTTCAGCCGAAAATATACCTAGGAAAGACTTTCACTTAAAATAGTTTCTTTCATTTATATGAAGAATGTAAAAGAAAACTATAGCATCATCCCCATTAACTCCTATTCCGAACCTTGTCTAATAGCATTTCACAATACTGCACCATCTCAGTAACCCCAACCGGAGAGTTGTGTTGGACCTCTACGCTTTATCTATCTTATTTTAGCACTCAACCTAGTTGAAATCTTTACACTATGGTTATCTATAGAAATATATTTAATCATGCGATTTCCTGGAGTACATTTAAACAACCATATTATCTGAGATTTCATAACAACTTTTAGTACTTCATGATAATTTTTGAAAAATAATTGTTACGTCACTAGACACTCATGAATGTTTTTGTTAGGCATGTCACCATACTTATATATAAGCTGCCTTAACATCAAATATTCTAAGCGAGTTTTCACAATAACTAATGTATGCTAATAAGAAACAAATGTAACCAATACTCATCTTTGAAGCATTGTGCAACCACCGAGTGATGTAGAAAGTGGAGCAGTAAACGGGGGTTATATTTCAGTTGAGCAGTTTGTGAACCCCTATCAACTCCCCAATTTCTCCCTACCACCATGCACTAGTCTACGTAAAACAAGAGTTTATGTCTCCAAATTAAAATTTCTGGTGATGTAGACTTCCTGCTTCGAGTTATTTAAAATGCTAACTCATGACATTTAGTGTGATAACTCACCGTCAGTTGTTTTATTTCAAACTACATCTTTTGTTTATTTTAACACATAAATGTTGGTACAAGGAGGCACCGAATACATATGCGCCACACAAATCATTCGATTTGTGTGAGGGCTGGGATACTGCCTGGGTGCCCAAACCGAAGCGGGTGGTTTTCTTAGGGGGCCACACCTGGAGCCTTCTACCTAACGGTCTGACCCACAAGGCAATGGAGCAACGTAAGGAGATGCATTCTCATGGTAGTCGGTGACCAACAATTGGTTCATACGGCATTTGTTCCATCAGGATACTGGAGCCCATGTGCACCATTGGTTTGGAATCAGGGTTTTGCAACTCCGCTAGACGGATCTTCCGTATCCACCAAACCGGTTAGAGCGCCGTGCATTTGCTGTTCGTCCTCTCGATTTCGTAAAGAACACCTGTGATGCTACAGGGCAGTGAATAGGACTTACCTGGCAGTTTATATACATAAAAATCTCAGAGATTTTGTTTTCATTGTTGTTGATTGTTCAGACCAATACAATACTGATGCTCAATAATATTTAATATAATTTGCTTTTACTTGTTATCGTTTCTTTACTATTTCTCTCTTGTTGCTGTTGTTCTTGTCAATCTCAATTCCATTAGTAAACGCGTTCGAGTTTATTTAAATGTTCCTTTGAAAAGTGAAACGAAACAAGAAATTGAACAGACTTTAGGGAATGTGGAATCTGATCGAAAATTAATTGTTCAGGTTAGTTGATCCCTAAAAATGCTTTATCTACTTATGATTTTAATTTTTTCGTGTGATGAAAATGTGTGTTAATATCTTCATTCACTTTATGTAAAAGAACCTTTTTGACTTAATGGTGTACATATACTTACATAATCTTCAATTATAAAGTTCTAAATTCTATCTGTATATCATTTAGTTTGATGTAGGCAGGGACACAAGGATGTTAGTTTCATCTCATTAATTCGATGTAACATACCAGGCTAACTGGTAAAGCTTGTATATAATTATTTCATTTGTCATGATCAACAAAGAACCTTTTAACACATGAGTTTGCTAGCCGATGTTACTACATCTACGTTAGCATGGCGAGATGAAACTAAGAAGTTTTTTAAAGAAAGGAAGCGATATCAAAATTTTTTCCAGTCAAATGTGTGTCCATAATCGTCCAAATTCATTAATATAAGCGGAGATGATAATGTTGATTAGAGGAACAATGAAAGCTCCACGACCGAACCATTCCAATAAAAATATAATTTTCTGAATAACTCAATTATCCGTTTAAATGTGTGTCGATTTAATCTACTGTATCACAAAATATGATCAGTCTAGATTGGATGGTGTTTAAGAATCAGACCGTGTTTTAAGTATAGATTGCTGATCAACTTATCTGTCTCCAGCTTCTTCACCACTAAGCCAAGTTATACGTTCGAAATGAAATAAGTCTTGAGTTTAATGTGTCAATCCATTTTAATCCTCACTTTTGTTCTCTTTTTCCCTATAGGCTTGTATAGTACGTATTATGAAGACTAGAAAAGTAATGAAACACCATCAGTTGATCTCGGAAGTTGTTACACAATTAACACCTCGATTTAAACCCACTGTATTATTAATTAAAGTAAGTTTTGTTTAGTAATATATATGAAAAACAAGATCATTATTTGATGTTATAATTAGTAGATAGTGTAAACATTTCCTCTTTTTATCATTCAGTACCCTCCATAGTCGAATTGGCTGGCGTATATACGAAAATGAATAGAATATCATCAATTTCTTGCTTCACAGTTTATAATTTCATAAATGCTAAACGCTGATAATATTTTTAAAATTCGTTGCGTGATTTCTTAGATAGTTCAACTATCATCCCAACTACCTTAATCATAGGTTGCCAACTTCACTTAGACTCTCGGTTTGTGCAATTGGATATTATTACTAATTCTTACATCTAAATTGTAGCCTTAATTCAAGGATAGGAATTTTACTTGTTAATTTTCGTTCAGATAAAGTTTCCTTATATGAATAAATAAATTCTCTTTATCAGTGGACTTGGTTCACGCAGTTGAAGTATATTGATGTATTCATAGATAATTCAGTCATATATAAACGTTTCAATGCTAATATTAGTCGGTTAAAGACAATCAGATATCAAAATGAGTTTTTGTTTACAAATGTATATCGCTCCAACCTCCCGTACTTTACATCAACAAATCGAGGGAAAATTATCACATTAAATGGAAAACGAACAGAAATAACATAAAAAACTACTGAATAATGAAGCTGGAAATACAAATCACAAGACTAGATAGAATCGCTGGTGCAAGGCAAAATAAAACAAAATAATGTTTATATCATCTATCAGTGAACTGAAACCCACTCTCCAACTACGACAACTACAATTATTTCACTAATCTCAATCATAAAATTTTGCACATATTGATTATATCTAAGTCAGCAGTCAGTGATTTAATGTGTTGTTGCACATATCATGCTTCCTTCACATGCAACCTTCTTGGGGGACTCCTATCGACCTGGTATAGCCTACCAGTGTATACATTCACTAGATATGTGAAATAATTGTCTCAGCCACCTCATTCGATGAATGTACACAGTCTTATCAACATGCGGTTTATATGTTGCCCATTTGATGGAGTTTAGCCATTTAATTTAAATAGTTTAGATGTGATACTTTCATGTCCGGCGCTTTAACCGGATTGGTGGATGCGGAGGATCCGTCTAGCGGAGTTGGAAAACCCTGATTCCAAACCAATGGTGCACATGGGCTCCAGTATCCTGATGGAACAAATGCCGTATGAACCAATTGTTGGTCACCGACTACCATGAGAATGCATCTCCTTACGTTGCTCCATTGCCTTGTGGGTCAGACCGTTGGGTAGAAGGCTCCAGGTGTGGCCCCCTAAGAAAACCACCCGCTTCGGTTTGGGCACCCAGGCAGTATCCCAGCCCTCACACAAATCGAATGATTTGTGTGGCGCATATGTATTCGGTGCCTCCTTGTACCAATATTTATGTGTTAAAATAAATAATAAAATCAAATCCGTTGAAACTAAATTGTGTAATTTATATTTAGATTTTAAAATAATTTAAAATGCTGAAGTGGGCTAATTCTCTGAATTCACTGTTGTAACGACATAAAATATCAACTCGTTTGAATTTTCATCATACAAAATCAGGTCAGATTAAAGGTATTACTGTTATATGAATAAAATGCCAGTCTACCTCGTTTGCTTACTACTTATGCTCCACATTTCCCAATCATTATCATTGTATGTCTTCTATGATTGCAATTAACTATAACTGAAATGATTTTAGACCTAATTTATTTGTTTCGAGAAACAATATTGTAAATTAATAAATCAAAGTAAGGTGAGACTATAATTTATGGACGACCTTTGGGTGACGCTAAAGTGACCTTGTGAGTGTCCACCTAATAACCAGGAGGGTTATTAACCTGTGTGAGGAATTACAATTTTGATTTATAGTTGATGGTTTGGGTTAGAAATTAGATTAAGGGTTTTCATCACGAACTGACATCAGCTATAATGCCAAAATTCGTGACCTGTTTTCTTATACGTGATTGGTTCTTCCATAAATTATAGTCTGGGCCAAAGTAAATTTCAGCTACAGGAAAGTATATTAAAACAAACGTTTATTCTAAGTACCTCCTGAATAAGATCGAATGAAATACTATTTATCTTCCACATTTTTAGGTTCACTAGTTTTGATCATTTTAAACATATTTAACGCAAACGTTTTTGTTATTATTTATATTTTCTATGTTTCAGCGATGTATTACCGCTCTCATTGAAAGAGAATATATTAAGCGAGATAACAATGAACGAGATGCTTATGAATATTTGGCTTAATTTTCCCTACTTGTATGCTGTTGCTCGTGTGTGTATGTGTGTTTGCATTCTGTGGGCTTTCTAATAAACCAGTTTTATTTTCGTTCATAATTTGCAACGATTGTTTCATTCTAATTTGTTACTTTTTCTCTTTACAACAAATCCATACTGGACTTGTTTGTATTTTACAGCATTCTGCACTTTGAAAATATCTCAGATGTTCTTTTTTTATTCATTGTCACTGATGACTAACTACCTTGTTTCAGTTTCCCTTTTCTATTTTTTGAATGTTCGCCTGATAAGACGAACGTATTTCGTCAAATTATTATGGTAATATTTCGGTATGGTTACGCTTTTAAAATGAATGTGTTTCGCCAGCGTTCCATACATATTTAAAGGATCGAAAAATGATACACTGTTTTATGCAAACATTCACGTTATCATATTTTTGCTATTCTAGTTGCTTCCAGTTCCTCTTCACTCTTTCATATTGTACCTATGTTATTGTTTCATTATACATATGTTTAAACATCCCCCTACCATCCATAAAGTTATGATGTGATTCGAAAGTAAAAGTGGGCGAAACACTTCTGTCATCCGATTCTCTAAACTTATTCGAGACAATTCGGTAAGAATACTTTACTCTGTTAAATGCACCACCCCAACTAATTGATGGCATTATTAATGTATTTAACAAAATGCATTATTGTATGCCTAAGAATGGCAATCACATAGGTACTTCCAATATTCTTTTCTCGTAACATATTTGACCTTTCAATAAATCTATACATAAATACAACGAAAAAAATCCAAGAGTATAGTGGTCTAATCATGGAAGAATATGCTTCTGCAGAACACCTGATGTGGTTTTGAAATCAAAAAACTGAAATTTCTTTAAACATTAAAGCGCTCGAGTCTTATAAAGTAACTCTGCATTTATGTTTAATTATTTTATCATTCCTCATGTGCAATGTGTTCACTGCATTCATGGATGTCAGCCAAAAATTATTTTTGTGAATGTTTGTTTAGCATACTGGATTTGAATTGAGTGGTATATTGCTTCATCATGGATTGTTGAATGCTGTCAACCGTCTCTGTTAATTTTTGGTCAGTTGAAATCTTAGAAATTATGAACGTTCAAATCAACTTAATAATCCCATCTGATACTGATCGTTAGTCTCATAAATACAACCCTGTATAATCCACTCGATCTCAATGGGAAAAACAGCTATCATCAGGATTTAAACAATAACGAAACATGTAACCTAAATACTCATTGATTGCTATGAGTGGATTGTACAACATATTTTACTTTAGAAATCGAGATCGAAACTCTAACTGTAATTTACATTCATATGTTGCCTTCTATCATATCTGTCAAGATATTATGAGAAATATCTCTGTTGTTGCTTAAATCTAGTTGTTTTACGTGATTCATGTGTAACTAATGAATATGCTTAGCTATTCAGCCAGCGGTTAGAGAGTTTGTCGTGATAACATAATATACCTTTACACCTTAAATGTGTTATTAAACAGAGATCAACCAATCACCATCAGATGATTCACACCAGTAACAGTTAAATCAACCTGAAATTTCGTTTTTAATTGCAAGGGCATTTATATTACAGTTGCTTGTAAATCATTCTAACCTATGCAGTAGGACAAGTTCAAATGTGTATAAGCAGTATTAACGTCCCAAATTTTGAAAGTCCTCTTGGAAATGCAACTAGAAATACTTCGATAAATAGTGGCTAGCAGTGAAATCCAGGACACGCGTCTCGTCCTATTTCAGACCCTTCTCCATATTCGCACGTCGAACCGCGTTTTTTCGCTAATTTTAAACTTTTGGAAAACTAGTCCATATCTATTTGTTTTGGAGAATGTTACACGTTGGCACGAAATCACCTACTATACCTTTTGGCGGAGTACCGATCCACACGTTGCTGAAAAGTGCACCACTGTGGCGATAGCTCTTATTTTTAGTGTACATTCTCTGCACAGTATGATACCTAATACTACATCTCTGTGTTCACTGTTTCTAAATTTTCCTATTGTCTATTAGATTCCAAGTATTTTTAGAACAAACTTTCTGTCCTGTGGTTATAAGAAACAACTTTATCCTTAGGTATCGTGAATTACTTCGAGCCTATTATTTGTCAGTCTAGAAATTAGTGTGACAATAATATGTTAGCGCACAATGCATTTATGTTTTCTTATCTAAATCTTACGTACAAATATTCCAACTTTGCATTCCCTTAATGAACTGTCTGCCAGAAGCTATCTATACTTCCGAACGCTGAATTACTTTTCACGTGATTAGAATTCTGATCCCAACTGTCCCCTTCATTGTTACATAGTAAGTTTTGGTATAACCCTCCGTGCGGGAGCTCAACGGTTCGATTTGCTTGTAATACAATAGTTATAAAGACAATGAGTTCCGGCGGAGTGTACAACACAGCTTTGTCTAAAACACTACATTCATACCATAACTTTTAAATGGTTATCACTAAAGAAGGGTCATGGATGGTGTGTTTTCAGCAATAAAATTGGTCAGTTCTGCATACGATCTAGAATGAAGCGACTAATACATCATATTGACTCTGCTCGACGGTGGGAATTACCTTTAACTTATCTACAAACATTTGGTTGATTTAATTTTCTGTTTGGAAATCACTCCTTAATTAAAACAGGAATCTTGCTCTAAGATAAATCAGTTGATCTACAAGTTTTTTTTGTTGAAAAAAATTAGCATTAGACACTACGGAAAAATGATTTTTGTATATCTAGACAATATATATATATCTTCAATATGATTTTTGGTTGGGTCCATCAAAATTTGTTTCACTGATCCTGTAAAGTGTCTATGTAACGAACTATAACTTGTCTATGTAACTGTATAGTTCAAATAGGGATCCTTTTGAATTTGTTTTCTTAATATGATTCCGCTTGTAAATTACTTTTTGTCATGTAATTTATTAATTGAGAACTGATTGGAAATGCTTTATTTTACCATTTAGATAGAGTCGTTTTTGAGGAACGTTTCGCTTAGAGACTTGTCATTTTTGATATACTTCAGTATCGTGTGTGGTGGACCAAAAATATATCAATTGCAACAATAATGATACAGTTATTGCGTCAAAAATTAATGTGTTAATATATCAAATATAAATTATACACACAGAATAAATGTACAGGACGTTATCCGGTAATGGCGTGTTCGAATTTCTTTTGGACTGTCATCATAACAATGGGTAATTGGGAAGAAGGAACATTTGTGGGCGATAACCAGCGTGTCATGTTATGCGGGATTAAAAAACGGAACGAGAGAGTCAGTGTCATGTTTTTTAAACAATTTTTCACAGACATTAGTACCTTGACCAATTATGACAATTAATGAAAGAGATACAATTAGTGACAAAAACTGATCACGAAATATATATTGTGATTATCCCCACACGTGCTTTGTCATTGCTTCAGAAGTATTCATTTATTTCTGCAAATGGCCTTAGGATACTAGAGGGCGGACTGTTGCGAGGCCAAACATTTGGTTCATATCATATTTGCCGCTACAAGCCTTTCATTGTCAGGTTTGGGTTCTTGGGAAAAGTGGAATTTGTTTTTGGCTTATGACTTGTGTGAGAATTTTTTAAATATGACGGTTAGTTTGTTAAATTTATTAGTTCTCAGGCATAATACGACGAGAAACTAATACAATAATGGCCCCAAATGCCCTGGTATGGCCGAGAGTGGGGTGGGTTCGCTCTCCCTCTCGAAATGCTTTCACACGGCCACGCGTATGTTGCCTCTGCCAGAGAAGTCCTTCTCGTTGCGGGGGTGTTTTTTACGAAAATGAGAGGACGAGAAGCGAATATCCGGCGCTTTAACCGGATTCCAAACCAATGGTGCATATGGGCTCCAGTATCCTGCGGGAACAAATGGCGTATGAACCAATCGTTGGTCACCGACTACCATGGGACTGCATCTCCTCACGATGCTCCACTGCCTTGTGGATCAGATTTTTAGGTCGAAGGCTCCGGGTGTGGCCCCCCCACCTGCTTCGAGCAGTATCACAGCCCGCATACAAATATGATGAACTGTCGATAATTATGGAAAATACTTTTCTTGCTTCAACTATTAATCAAACGATTCACATTATTATTATTACTATTGTTATTATTTACTACATCATTTATTCACTCTTTTATTCCCACTCTTCTATCCTTATTTTTCGACTTATACAACAGCTCGTCTATGGTGGAAATTCGGCTCTAGCTAAACGTTCTCGAGTAGAGACGTTATCAGATATGGCTGAAAATAGAAGCCAGTGGCGATCCTGCTGTAACCTTTCACTTTCGTCATAAAAAGTGGTTGCTTCTTCCTTAACTGAAATATCTCTTCTGAGTGTACGTTTCTGTTTCCCCCATTATTATTATTACACTAATCTGTTCGTTATCGTTTTTTTACGCTCCTTACCTTTTTTTCCTTCTCTGCAAATTCTCATTGTTTTGTGTGGCGCATATATATTTGGTGCCCTCCTGTACCAATATTTATGTGTTTAAATAAATAAATAAATAATATCAGATCCAGGGTTCAAGAAACAGAATAACACGAGATAATATTTATAACTAGATAGGAATTATATGCAGTCTACCAGTACTTCCGGAGCAGTAATCAATGAGAGGGAAGGAAATCACATTTAATATTCAGTAAACCAAGTGTTTGCTTCTCCATGCTCAGTGTTTAATTATATTTTACATTTTCTAGCACATGTCATCTTACTCTCTATGTTTACAGGTATTTTTGTCCTAATTTCATTTGAAAAAAATTTGATCAGCATTATAACCCAGATCGTCCTGCCCTTTAATATCGTGCGTATATCTCTTCCTCCACGATCCAGTTTGTGGTTCATATGTATCCATGAGAACAATTTGACGCTTCCAATCTGCATTATCTCATACTTCGATTGCATGTGGGTGTTTGGGCACACATATTGACATCTAACTTGATGCTTTCTACCACGA